TATATGTATATCGGCAACAAAAACTAACAGTAAGCAAGAGCTTAAATAAATGTCAGCCATATACATAACAGGTAAGCATTAAAAACCGAAAATAGCCGAAGGAGGAGATGAAGCCTGACTGTATGCACTTGGGTGTGCTGGAGAGATTTAGGGCGGATGTGCCGGAGAGCTAAAAGAGCCGTAGTCGATTGTATAACAGGCGTCGCGTATTCAGAACAGCTGAGATATGACGTAATTGAATGTGGGTGAAATAATATACGAATAATCAAAAGACCTAAGGCATCCCCCAATGCAGCACCCATTTGGAGAAATCAACTCTGATGTGTGCCATTAGTTTTTGTATTTTTTTCTTTTCTTTCTTTTTTCTTAGTTTACATAATTTGCAAATATTCCGGCTTTGGCTCTGGCTAGTTGGGAGTAAAACTCTTCGGTTGGTGGAAAACTTTGGCAGTAGAAGTAATCAATAAATATTATATTACTAAATTTTACTGGAATCCTCCGATTTCTGTCTCGCTCACTCAAGCGCACTCTCTCTCTCCTTCTTTTGCTCTCTCTTTTGGCTGCGCTTTTACTGCGCAAGCTTGCGGTAAAGTGACTGGAAACAACTGCGGCTCAATTCGCCCTGGAATGGCCAGCATTTTACCCCAGCTTATGGCGTTCTCAATGTGCGGCGAATTCAAATCTATGCTAAGTTAACTGTAAGCGGGACCTGCTAGCGAAATGTAGGTCTAGAAAAAGCATTTCGTTGTTCGTTAGAGCTTTTCTATAAGCTTAGTAAGTAAATTAAAAGTAAAGAATACTTATGGGGGAATGTAAAGTATACTTATGGGGGGAATGTAGTGTTGCGCTACAAAAATCGGTATGCGAGGTTAGTTTGTGACAATTACGAAAAGCATTGAAAATAGAAGTTAGACATAAATAAATAACAGAGATTTTTCAAACCCCCCTCGTGTATACAAACATATTTATATATTTGATGTATATATAATAGAATATTGACTAATCTTTATTTTGTACTCGAAACAGAAATTCTGATAAGACTTTAAAGCCATATGATAACCGAGCGTACAGTTGGAAAAGCATATAGAGAGCTAGAAGCATTCTCATGAAGCTCACGAGTTCAGTTTGAGAGCCACTGAGCGCAATTGCAAATCCTAGCAGCCGCAGCCGTTGACGCCGCSACGGCAGCAGCAGCAGCACATACGCCTGAAACCTTGAAAGCTTGCAGCCCAACTGTTTGTTGCTCTCCAGCGCTCACCACCGGCACTCAGTGCCAACCGAAACGGTGCCACCCACAAGCCGAAAGTCCAGCGCTAGCAAGCGAGTCTGCCATTCCAGTGACGGCGACGGCACCCAGCTGAGAAAAAAAAACACACACACACACATACACAGAAAGCTGCAAGGCGGCAAAAAAACACACACACTGAAGAAGAAATATAGAATAAGCTCTGATTGTGTATTTCCATGCGCAATTGTTTGCCCACAGCCCCAGCCTTGTCTGTGTGTGTCACACATTCGCCCTGGAGTGTGTGAAAACGAGCGAGCGAGACGACTGAAGCCGAAGCGCAGCCGAACAGAAACCGAACATTTTGCTCGCAGCTGCAGCAGTTGTAGCGCTGACGAGCTCAACGCTCAACTGGCACTATCATTGGCGTTTTAACTGTGGACGGTTGCTACTCGCACACGCTGGCGGATTAACGGCACATATATATTTATAAAAATATATATATAATGTATATGCACTCATATATATAAAGAAAGTTATGTGCATGTCTGCGTAGAGAAGAAGAAGAAGAAGAGGAAGCTGAAAAGCAGCGTTCAAGAAAATCCATCTGTATGTGTGTTGTTGTTGGTGCGCCGCTGTGGAAAATACAACAAATTTTCATGTATTTACACAAAACGTTGGTTACATAAAAAAAAGCAAAAAAGCTTAAAAATATTAAAAGAATTCAATTCTCGAGGTGATGAAGCAAGTGTCCAAATTTAAACAAAATAAATCGTTTCCCGACCTCCATAATCCGCAAATAAAAGATTATGCAAAACACAAAAAAGAGACAATTTTTCGAATGATTATATGAACAGCGTCGGCAAAGACAACGCGATAAGGACACTGTGACAGCAGCAGCAAAAAAAAAAAAAAAAAAAAAAAATTATATCCTTGTAAAACTTATATACATACCTAAATTCGATTTTTTTCTTGCTGCTGTTAATTAAAAACAGAATTTAACATAAACTATTAAAAGAAAGAAACAATAAACAAAAACTAATAGTTAAAATAATGCTTATAAAATATAATTAAAAATTCAATATAACTGAAAAATGTAATCAAGCAATTTCCAAGATTTTGTAAGATCAAAAAACGCCTAACAGTTTAATTCCAATACATAACTAACAGAAAATATCTAGGATATACTGCTACTAAAGATCTTCCTAATTTTACCACTCGTTTTTAGCTTGTTTCGGCTAGTGAAATTGTAGTGCATTCGTATTTACATATATATATATGTATATATATAGCTTGTGTAATCAATATGCTTATATAAACTTTGAAATTCGAGCTACAACTCACGTACGAGAGACTTTAGCCCATATACTACATATACATATATCATAAATGAAAACTTCAGAATTGCATTAAGTACTCATTAAATAAGACGAGAAAAAAGAAGAGAAAACTGAGCATTGCCTACATTTCTGCGCCTCCTGTCCCACAGCTAGAAGACTCGCCCAGCTACAGACATAGCCACAGGCATTTATATAGCCATAGCCATAGCTATAGCTATAGCTATAGCTACACAAGCCACAAGCCATAGATAGAGCCGAGGCCGTTTCTTTTTCGCCTTCGCCACGGACGCGCGTTGCGCAATGTGGCAGCGACGTCGCCGGCGGCAGCGTTCAGAAAGTAAGTCAAGCTACGCGTATGCGTGAGAGAGCAGTTCCATTGTGTTAGTGAAACATTATTTTTAGCTGCACCAACAATAAAGGAGGAGCGCATATCATATTGCAAAATTAACATACAATTTACATAACTTTGTCAGCTTATGTAGGTGTATGCCTCCCTCTGTCTGTATGTGTGTGTGTGTGTATGTGTTTATGTGTGTGTACATGGCCAGTCGTGTATTTAAAGCTGCAGCAGTTAAGCCGCTTAGCATAGCCATAAGCCAACCTAACTGCTGATGCCCGCATCACGGGTTGCTTCAGCATTCCCGAGTGCTGCTCTAACTGTCATTAAGATGGCGCCCAGCTGTCAACTTGTATGGCATGCCCAGAGTCTGTTCTGCACCAAAAACAAAAAAAAAAAAAAAAAGGGAAAGGGAAAGGAGATGAGAATAGAAACAGAAAAGTACTTCCAACGCTAGTTCCAGGCTCACTGTTTGCTCTCTCGCTCTCTATCGCTCTGTCTCTCATTTTGCAGCTCACACACGCTTGCACTCACTACTCACTCGAATTCGCTCTGCATTTATTTCGCCTTGCTCTCTCGCAGTGCGCATACGCTGATTGGCTTGGGCCAAGCTTTAGATGCTTTTTTCCAACGCTCCTCGCTCGAGATTACATAACAGTTGGCAGAGTGTGTGGCTAAAATCGGCAGGCGACTGCAATTTGTTTTCACGTAAATGACAAACAGTTGATCGAATTAGCAACAATTAATTGAACTAAATTTATGTAAAATTTACCAAAATTCAGACCGAGTGTACAAAACTATTTAAAAGTTGCACAACTCAACGGCAAAGTGTATTTTCGAACAGTTTTCAAACCGTGTCCTTGTGGGACACACATACATATAGGAACAAGAAAAACGAACAAAAAAAACTGTCAAGGCGGACAATGACTGATTCGTTTCTTTTTGTTCGGTTTGACAAAAGCTAAATGAGATTTTAATGTTTATATAAGCAGTTGAATATGAGCAAAAGTTTTCACAGTTCAAATTTAAATTTGATAGCAGTCATAAAATGTATTTTAAACTAATTAATAGTTTTAATACATTTTCGAGTATTATTAGAGATAGATACTATCCTAAGGAAATTGCTTAAAATTACAAGCGTATATAAATATAATACAAAAAATACATATATTTTATTTTAATCTTAAAATAGTAGGTCACACCTGGTCTTCTCAACCCAACAGGTGGCAAAAAAAAAAAAAAAAATAAAATAAAACAGTTCAATCTTACTCATAAATTTATTTCTAATTTCAGTAACCAAATAAATTTAGCGCAAATCTTAACACAATACTGCTACGAACATTCAAACAAAAACCCCATTTAAAAATGTTGTACCAACGCAGTTGATTAAGACAAATATAAAAAAAAAAACCAAAAATATAAAAAATAAAACCAAATATAACATAAATAATTAATATCTTAATAATATTCATAAAGTTTAACCTAAGTATTAAGAACAAAAACCTAAAAATAAAACAAATAGTTTAAAACTAGCTTAATACAAACAGACAGACACCCTCCTTAGACCTGGTGCAAACGTATCGCAAACCGTACTTAAAGCCAACAGCAAGCTAAACCGAAAATCAAACCAAACCAAACTAAAAACCAACACCAAMAATGGCCGACAAGAAGATTGGTGAATACTATGCACCACCGCCAAAGATGGGCAAATGGGAGGGTTTCAGAAAATTCATATGGAACAGTGAAACTAGCCAATGCCTCGGACGCACCGGTTCCAGTTGGGGTAAGTAAAACAAAAAAAAAAAAAAAAAAAAAAAAAAAAAAAAAAAAAAAAATATTATTATCAGATATTATCAACATTTTTCGAGATAGACTTTTGCGGAACTTTAAATTTTTTAAATACAATTTTTGAAAATTGTGATATTAATTTTCT